TACTGCTACTGCTACTACTAAAACTACTCCGACTACGACTATTATGACTACTGCGACTGCTGCTGCTGCTACTACTACTACTACTACTACTACTACTACTATTACTACTACTACTACTACTTGTGAAAGCTGATTGTGTTGCCGTTGGTCCCGAACAGTGTGTGAATGTCCGCTGCCGTGTAGGCCTTGACCCAAGCTTTGGCGCTGGCAGGAAAACCGGAAGTCTTTTGTGAGTGCCGTGCAAGGCGCTTTCATAGTGGCACCGGAGCCTGAATTGCGATCCGCTTTGCTGCTGCTGTGCGCTTCGCTGACCTCTTCTTTTACCTCTTTGGGCGTGGCGAGTGCTATAAGGTTGGCTTCCTCCAGGGTGGCCTTCTGAACGGCGACGTCACGCCTCCTGGCTAGCTCGGCCATCGGACTGCTTCGGCCGTGCGAGCTGAAGGGTGCTGTGCGCTGCTGCGCCTTCTTTGGCACCTCGTGGGCTGGAACTCAGTGCCCCTTTTTTCCTACCTGAACGTGTACCTTTGAGGCAACTGTCTGGCTGCGCCGGCTTCTTCTTTGGCCTCCTTCTGAACTTTGTCTACAACTTTGAGGCACCGCTGCCCGGAACTGCTCCGGCTTCTTTGGCATCGTGCCTTTGACTTTTGGGCGGAACTAGCCGCCCCCACCTTTGGCAGCAACTAGGCCGCCCCTCTTCTTGTGCGAAGTGAGTTTCCTTGCCTTTGTGGTGGCTCCCTGGTGGGCTGCTCTTCTTTGAGGGTGCGATGGCCGAGGAGGACAAAGGGACCTCGGCGTGGTACAAGGTGCCGACGTGGGACGGAAGCCCGGCTACATGGAGGGCTTTCCAGCGAGAGATGGAATGGTGGATGTCGTCCTTGGACGTCGACAACACCAAGAAGTTCAACTTGGCGGCGCGGTGGCTTTTGAGACAAAGCGGTGTCGTGAGGCAAAGGGGTGAGGAGTTTACGCCGAAGGAGTTGGAATACACTAAGGAAGTGCGAGCGAGAGACCCCGAGGGCGTGGAGATTGTCGTGACCGAGGAGGACCCCTTCAGCGGCCTTAATAAGCTCATGGCGGCCCTGGAGGAGATCAACGGCAAGACGGCCTTGGACAAGAAGGGCGAGCTGAGACGTCAGTTTTATACTGACCTCACCCGTCGCCCTGGAGAACGGCCTGCGGACTTCCTTTCGCGGTTCAGGTACCTGGCGGCAGAGCTTAAGAGCGAGGGCATCGCTCTTCCTTCCAGTGAGCTGGGTTGGTTTCTGAGAGAGAAGCTTGGCTTGGACCCACTGAGGAAGCAGTTGCTTGAGACAGCGCTGGCTGGCCGGGAGAAGTTCGAGGACGTCGAAGCTGAAGCCCTTAGGCTTTTTAAGGAACTCCACGCCTCCGACCCCCTGTACAAGAGGCTGGGCGCGGACACCCGGTTTCAAGGCCGGGGGTTTGGACGAGGCGGTTCTTCTTCCTCGGGGGCCTCTTCGTGGCGAAGTTCGGCCGGGAGCACCTGGTCAGGACGATCCTCGTCTGGGGGATCGGTGGCGGGAGCAGCTGGGAAACATGGTGGCAAGGGCTCTTCTTTCGGCCAACGGCGGCCCTTCTTTCCGAACCTGAGGCACCGGCAAGCATATGCCGCTGAAGCTGACGAAGGGCAACTCAACGAGGAGCCGGAGGTTGAAGAGGAGGAGCTCGTGGCCGACCCGGCTGGTGACTCGCCGGACCTCGACGAGATTCTGGAGATCGAGGCGGAGGCTCTGGCGGCTGAGCTGGAGCAGGCTGAGACTGAAGGCGTGGACGCAGAGACGCTCGGGCAGATCGAGGGTTGCGTGGAAGGCGCCGCCGAAGCGCTGATTACCATGAGGGATGCCAAGGCCCGTCTTCAAGAAGTTCGTCGTGACCGTGGCTTCGGAAAGGCAGGCGGCACCTCTGGGCCCGGAGTCGGTCAAGGCTCGCGGGCGACGCCTGGGTTCAAGAAACGTGGGACCTGCTTTGACTGCGGGCTGGCCGGCCACTGGGCCGGGGACGCGGCATGCCAACGCCCAGGTGCCGGACTTGCAAGGCCAAAGGGCGGATCTCGAGGACCGACTTCACCCTCTTCGTCGGCCCCTTCGGGATCTCCTCAAAGGCGGGTGCAGCTTGTTGAGACCTTTGCGGCGGAGACGGAGCCCGAGCTCAACGAGCACAGCGTGAACGAGACCGCCGTGGCAAGCACACTGGAGCAAGCCTTGGCCGTGACCTGTCCCCGTGAAGTGCTGGCTGGAGCTATGTCAAAGGATAAAAAGAACGTGGGTGCCCTTGACTCGGCTTGCAATAGGACTGTTTGCGGGAGAGCCTGGCTGGAAAGCTACCTTGGAGCACTGCGTGCGTCGCCTTGTTGGGAGGCGCTGCGGCCTCTCTTGGCGACGGAGCCCGAGACAGAGACCTTCAAGTTCGGGAACGACGGGACAAAGGCCAGTGTGGAGAGACACCGGCTGCCCATGACGGTCGGGGACACTGTCGTGTGTGTGTGGACAAGTGTTGTCGAGGTGCCTTCGCTGGGACTACTACTTGGACGTGATTTCCTCGAGGCCGTCGGGGGAGTGATCAGCTTTACTCGTCGGGCTTTGCGAGCTGATCATTTGGACTGTCGTCGGATACCACTGAAGCAGCTCTCGGCAGGACACTTCTACCTCGAGCTCCTGCCGACCGACTACAACAAGGACCTGGACCGACGATGGACCCGACAAGGCGCCGATGGGGTTCTTGAGGTTCAAGTGAGTTGTGCTGAGTGGGCCCGACGGAGAGCTGCAGCAGTGAAGCCGAGTAAGCATGTGAATGGGCATGAGCAGTTGTCTTTGGAAGCTTCGTCTGCAATTGTGCCGGGCGACCTCTCGAGACCTTCGGCTTCTGCCGAAACCCCAATTCGCTGTGCTGGTTCCGAGCCCTATGCTGCCGGGGCCAGCCGAAAGAAAGGACCGGGTATGCCACCGGTACCGGCGTATGTGCCTAAGGGTGCTGGCAAGAAATGTGTGGCACTTCGGTGGGTTGCAGCTTTGGCTTCAGCAGCGGCCCTCTTTGCGGTACGTGCCCCTACCGTACAGCAACACCAGAAGCTTGGAGGATTGGAAGCTCCAGGCGGAAGCTATGGTGAAGTCTGGGGCCCTGGCTCGCAGGCACTACCGCGCGGCCGTGATGGAGAAGAAGTTCGAGGACATTGGCCTGCTGAAGGACGCCGGCTACTTGCGAGACCGCCTGGGGATCAAGTTGGCATTCATGGAAGACCCAATGTTGCCGGGCATGTTGGCCGCCAGGCACACCAAGGGCGTCAAGGCGGCGATCCAGACACAGCTGCTGGACAGGCTGAGGCGAGAGGCGGCGGAAAAGAAGGCCAAGGGCGAGGAGCTCACGGCAGCTCGAAAGCTTCTGGGGCCAAGGGGTGGACTTCCCACTCTGAAGGCCGATCTCCTGCGGCTGGCCGTGCTGCTGCACGTGGAGGTGAAGCGCGAGGACACCGTGGACAAGCTGAAGGCAAAGTTGCGACCAATGGTGGAAACTCTTCGGGGCACGGCTCTTGGGAGCGCAGCTTCTACAGCACCGGCCCAGCCCGCCTCCTCGGATCGATCCCCACAAGCCGAAGCGAGCATGAGACCAAGGAGGCCAGCGCCCGAAGACCGAGAAGATTCGCCGGAACGTCCAGCACCGCGGCCTCTACCGGAAGTTCGTTCAGCGGGGCCTATGGAGCCCACGGCGGAGGAAAGGGAAAAGGCGATGCTGGAACGCATGCAAAATATGCTGGAGGCCCGGGACCAAAGAATGGAGAGCATGCTGACGCAGGCGCTGCAGCACGTGATGCTGATGCAGTCGCAAACTGGGGGGACACCCCTGTCTCCTCCGGACAGCGACATGGGCTTCCAGACCGTCGAGGACGAGCTGGATCTGTGATTCCGCCGCTGAGGCAGCAGCTCAAGCCAGGGCAGCGGCTTTTGGTGACACAGGCCTGGAGAAAGGCCAAAAAGGACCGCGACCTGGTGAAGGTCGGCACCTCGGAGCTCCGGGACGCCCTGGAGGTCACCCAAGCGGAGGACATGGACCGAGCCTTGGGGACGCCCTTTGTGGCATGGGCTTCTCCTCGTCTTCTACCTCTTCGCAGCGGC